ACGAGAAACTTCAAATAATGAGCGACTCATCCAAGAGCAGATTTCACGTCGTATTGCTCCGCCTCATTGTTCCTCATTGCATGGAGTGACATGCAGGCCACGGCTCCAAGGTATCTGAACACTTGCAGTGCCAGACACATCTCGCATCATTTTGTTCGCTAGAGCCACTTTGCGATGTTTCACCCGCTGTCACTCCTCAGAACGTTTTCGCATGCCGAACCATGGTAAATGGCACATAGCTCATCTAAGACCAACAAGCGCACTGTGCGATGTATCCTGAAATTCAGTCTTGAATGAGCTCGACATCACACAGTATACTCTGGTGTATGAACATTTTATAAGGTTTATGAGGTCGCATATGACGACAGCCAGCTACTGAGACATTGCTCTTGATGAGCTAGAGCACATAAATATACTTTCATGTCTATGCTGTTATGTAGCGCTTGGATATCCTACCATGCATCATGAAAATGTTGACCAGTTGAAACGGCACTTTGACTTTGGCGAATCTAAGCCAGGAGATATGTGGTGAGGTGTTAAAACACTGTTGCATAGGCAGTTCCTCTTAAACAATGTTGAATTAAAAACATGTCTTCGTGATCTGGACCTAGGACGAATGCCATATGGTTTCGCGAGAGTCATGTTGAGAATTTCACTTGTGGCGCCCTCATCAAACAGTGATCTTTCGACCGGACGAAGCTGACGAATGAAGGTATCCCGAACCACCATATTCCAACTTTTATGTTCATTTATGCAGCACTGAGTAGCACTGTTTCCATCAATGTAAAGTAATGATAACCAGAAATGAGTGTGGGTTCGCAGACAACTGATAACCTGTAGCGTTATAAAAAACTTTTTCACACCGTTACAGATGATTCCTGTGCCTAGGCGTCAGAATACATATTTGATGCTGAACGGGTTTCAGAAGTAACCGTTCTGGGCTAATCTCAGATCGATAACCCGCCTTTTCCCCTCTTTTTTTTCATCTTCCCCTTCTACAATTTAGTCCCTGATTCCTCGTTTTTTGTAATGCCCTTCCTCCTCCTCGTTTCCCTCACAAAATTATTGCTACCGATTTCCGTTTTACCTTTCAAACAGCGGCAAATTGAACAGCTGGGGAGGGTCACACAAAGTAGACACGAAACTGCTCGTGTGGCCTTGACATCATTGGCGAAACGCATCATTAATTCCATTTGAAAATCGGTTTTAAACGTGCGCGTCAGGTCGTCAAACGCCGGCAGGTGTATTCAGCCGCAGAACGGCCGGAATGCGAATAAACGATTTGTAACAAAGTGCAAATTGTCAAAATGGCCAACATGAATAAAGGTTGGCATCAGACGATCATCATCATGTAAAACCGTTAAGTGAGTGACCGCATTTCAAAGAGATCCTCACCTCTGTGCTGTTGAAAATCTGTCCCAGATTTAGCGAGCAGGGCACATATATTCTCCTTAAAGAACCTTTTCCTTGATGCTGGTTAAGTGGACCGTGCGTGGGACAAAAATGGAAGGGTTATGCTTGATGGTGTACGTGTATCATTGTTACATGTTGATGAATGTCAAGCCAACATCATAGCACGATGACAGAATATTAATAGCATAATCCTGACTGACTGGCAGTTGCAAGCATTAAAGTCACTATTTCGAATTTTTCATAGAAGATTCATTACTGCACCCATGCTATGACTTATGTCAAAGGATGAAAACTATTCATCGCTCATTTGGTGTTTTCGAGCCAAATTATGAAGGGACAGTTTTAATGATAGAATTAATCCATTGTT